CAGCGCTACGGCGCAGTTCCCCGCCACCCGCCTACCGGGCGAGCTGGGTTCCCAGGGCAAGGTTTCCGCTAGGGAACCGCCCCGTTCCCGGGTGACAGCCACGCTGCCGCTGCGGGGTCAGATGTGCCCCTTCCAGCCGGGCAAAGCAGTACGGTCGGAGCACGGTGCTTAACGGCCTGGTCAGGGCGCTAACGTTAACCGCGGCTCAGTCTTTTAATTGCGGGCAGCGAAGGAGACCCACCGCCACGGCCCTTGAACGCTTACAGAAACTGTTATAACCTTGATGATGGAAAAGGAAAGAAAGGGGAAAGGGTGAAAAAGGAAGCTCACTTAAAAGCCCACTAGTACTAAATGCCACTTGAATTCACTTTAAATAAGTAAGTTTAAACATGCCAGTGCATCTGCTGAGTGCTGTCCCATTACTTTAATTAGGGTAAAGAGCTCTGAGGCTATCTGGGGAGCAATTCCTAAGCTTCCTATTGGGGGGGGGGGGGAAGGGAAGCTCAATAAGGAATGCAGCAGATACTTTGCTTACCAAAAAAGCCAAACTGGTATTCCACGCTTACCCTCCACTAAAGGGCTCTACACATCCACATGTGCAGACCCTAGTGGCATCACATAACTGCTGAGTCACATCACCTTCAACAGTACAGCCAGGAGAAGCAGGGCAATTAACCTAGCATTTAGCCCAGGCCTCATAAAAGGGCTTACTTTAATGCCGGTTTATCCCTGATAGCGCAAGTCTTCTCTGACTGCAAGGCTCCTCCGTTAATCTTGCAGTTACAGACAGACCACTTACTCATGCAGTTAGCTCAGTATCCAGATGTTCTGAATCTTAGAAAAGATGCCTTTCCACAGAAAGTTGGTCATTCACATTCACAGGGAAATGAGAAGTAGCAGAAGCAATATCAGGGGAAAAAAGAGCAGATAGCCATAAAACCCTTATGGGTGGAACATACATTTTTATTGGCAAAGCAGCTGGCTTTTGAAAGAAAATAAATTCAAAACCTTTTTTCACAATTTTCCCCCCTAACCACGACAGCAAAATCCTTGATATCACCTTTGGGAAAATAAATAAAATAATAATAAACAAAACCCAAGATCTGCTTCCTCAGGAAGGCTCTAGGCTGTTTGCAGCTAGTATGCAGTCCAGTAACCACACGCGAGTTTCAGTAACAATCCATGGTTCTAACCAGCTTTAAATAGAAGAATATTTACTCCACGCACGAGGAAGAAGATGAAGTGCTTAGTCTCATGAGACACATAGCTGCCAAATTTCCTTCCCACAACGCAGTGCCAAGTGGGACTGTATTTCTTCTCAAACTCCTGCAGAAAAGATCACTAGGAATTTAGTATTAGTCTCACCCAAATGCTGTCTACAGATTTTTTTTCCACTGATGTGTCACTTCTTAACAAGCATCACTATTTAAACAAGGCAAATAAGGAGTAGCACATACTCTTAGATGCAAAAATTGTGTTACTTACCTCATACATCACCTGCTCAAAAACAAAATCAAACCACCCTCTCCACACCCAGCTAGATTCCACCAGTGCTTCCTAGGTGAGGAGGAATAAGCTTAAAATACCATCTATGCTCAGAGAATGTAATTTTTCTCCTAAGGTAATGCCATGATGTCAAAGAGTAACTTTTAAGTATCTGTTATCTGAGACTATGTTCTCTCTACTCATCATACCCAGGAGCCTACCACAAGTTTCAAATACAAAGATCAAGAAGTCTACTATAAGCAGGACTTCCCAGCCAGTGCTTACACACCATCACATCCAACAGTTCTCAAATGAGGACACTCGTGAGAGCATGCAAGTGTTTGTGCTCAGTTATTACAAGCCTTGGTTAAAGTAGTCTCCTCACCACGGTTTCTCAAGTTTTAAGTGGGAGCCAGACAAAAAAAAAAAAATCTGATGAGCTGTAGGCTATGAACCATCTACTCTCCACTAGTATAGACAGGATTTCTTAGAAGTGGAAAGAACAAACTCAGTCTCCATTAAGGTAAGAGGAAGCCAAGACCTCCCTAATATATGTGACTATTATTTAGTTGAACGACTTCTCAAATAGCTCTTCCACTCAGATTAGGTTAATATTTAACTTTCATGGGCACCCTTAGATTTCTTTGTTCTCCTGATTTGGAAAAGCATGATATACATCAGAACTAGATCGTTTGCATGTCTATTATTCTTCTACATACATAACAGCAGGTATTTGGAGTACCTCAGACATACAGTGCTCCCAGGCTGGGATCTTAACAGAAACTAGCATGTAACAAGAGGATGGACTTTTCTCTGCAAATTTTGAACAAGCTACCCAGTCTCACACAACTACTATAGAACTGCGAAGAGAACCTTAAGTTGTGCTCAATTTCACCTTTAAGTCAAGAACGTGGTAGAAAAGGCCTTCTCTCAGAGAAAAAATTATATATAAAAAATTAAAAAATCATGTTTTCAATCAGCTAAATAGTCACAGGAAGAGGTTAGCAGCCACTCTCCTGCTAACCCCAATAACCAGGTAGTAGAGGAACAATAAAAATAGAAGGTATAGCAAAAGAGCAAGAGAAGAATCAGGAAAAGCATATGTAAGGGGGACAGCGGGATGGGGAAAGGAACATAAGGACACCAGCCTGCAGAAAGCCCAGCTTGATTATCCAGTGTCTCCAGAGCTTGTTTCCACAAAAAGCCTAGCAAAAAGCCTAGCCGGAGTCACTCCCCACTAGATCTTTGATGCTCAGAGACATGACAAGAAGAAGATCTTACAAGCGAAAATTTACCCTCTTAATAAGGGCTGCAATATCTTTTTCAAGATTATATTTCTCTAGGGCTAATACGGCACATTCCACAGCTTCTTGCTGCATCTCTTCTGACATGTCCGTATCCTTAATGACGGCTTTCTGATCACTCATGGCTACCTGCACCGAGTAAAGCAGAAGAGACTTGGAAGCGGCAGGAGCGTTCATCCGCACACCAGCATCACCCGCACGCAGGCAGCCGCCTACAGCCG